TCATACCCCCAATCCTCTTAACCACTCCGATCTTACTCTTTTCTTTCCAATTTAAAGAGGCATCCGCAACTTCTCAATAATAATTGATTTTAATTTACTTTCAGTGTTCTCTAATCCAACTTGGAACAAAGAAAGAAGAAGGAGGCTAAATAGAAATAGAAAAATTTCACTCATATGATGTGAGATGACTTTCTTATTCACTTCTTTGTTCTGAAAAACTGCTCAGAGAATCTTTGGCTTCTGTAACATTTTGTCCAGCCCATTCTGTTGGGTTTTCCTCTTCCTCAAACTATACTGATAGCTCACACATTTTGATATTTCTAATTTCTTTGTCCCTCTATCCTACAAATCAGCTTTAAAAACTGATTTGATCCAGTGGAAGCCAACCTTTGGCATGCCTGCCATAGCCAGCTGTTTGTTAGCACTGGAAGTTCACAATGGTTCTCCATCACTAGATTAGACCCTGCATGTGGTCGGAAAAGTTTGTGTAGTGGTCTCTCTCTTTTCAGTTTCCCTATGGTATTAGGTGAAATGCAATTTCAAAAAATAATTAGGTTAGTTTTTCTAAGCAGCTTATTTTGAACAGTCCGTCTCTCACCAGAGTTGTCAAGGATTCTGCTTGGTCACGTGAAATTACCACATCCTTGTCCTCATCTTGCTTTCCATCTTAGCAACATCTGACACCACTATTTTTTAAAAACTTTCTCACTTGAGTTTATGCTGATAGTGTCTCCTGATAATTTCCTTCCCTTTTTATTGGCTTTTTACTGACTCTTCCTATGTACTACACAGGATTCCTAGGCACTCCGATGAGCAAGAGCATGGTCTTCCAACTTCTATTCCTTTTTCCAGTAGCATTCTAGGTGATCCTGTCAAGTCTATAACTCTAAATAGCATCCCGAAGAGTTGGATTCTATGATTTAAAGTTTCAGCTGTTACTTCTTCTAAGTGCTCCAGATTCACATAAGCAAAGTCCCAATTGAATATTTCCACGGATTCCTAAAAATACCTGAAGTGACTAGAGATGGAGTCTTCATTTCCTCTTCAAAACTTTGCTGTCTCAGCCTTATCCATCTTAGTAAACAGCTTCACTTTCTGCCCAGTTTCATCAGTATGCACCTCAGTGATCATCCTGGCTCTTCCTTTCCATCATGTCCACTTTTATCCAATTTATTAGTAAGTACTGTCAACTCCATTTCACAGATTTTTTCATTGAATCTACTTCTCCCCACGACCACTGTCCTAAATGTATTGTATGCCACTGTCATCTCTAGTATAGTGGAACCACTTCTTCTCTGGTCTTTCTGTTCTGGTAATTCTATACTTGCATTATTTTTATACAAGTCAATGAGATTTTTTAGAAAACATTCATTAGATATCAAATGCTTTCGCCACAAACATATAATGAACATCTGAGGTGATAAGCATGCTAAACATCATAACTAGGACGTTACCCAAAGTATAGCTGTGTCACTTTCAGCACCAGATGGGTTGCAAGACACCAAAGGACACCAAGATCTGTAGATGCTCATGTCCCCTATGTTGCCACACAACCTACGCACATCTTCCTGTACACTCTAAATCACCTCTAGGGCACTTGTAATACCAATACAATGTAAATGCCACATAGGTGGTTGTGATTAACTGTGTAGAAAATAATGACAAGAGAAAAAGTTGCTACATTTTCAATACTGATGTAATATTTTAAAAGTATTTCAACACACAGTGAAACCCAACAACTCAGATAGTCAACATTCTATATGTATGAAAATGTCACATTGTACTCCGAAATAAGTATAATTATTATATTTTAGGAAAATAGAATAGAAATTAAATTTAAAACAGTGTCCTGTGGCTTTTCCTGACCACTAAATCATATATAGTCCTTCACAGGCCTCTTTCATTATTTTATCCTTTAACAGATTTTCTTTAATAACTCTAAAAGCTCCAGAATTGTTAATCAATTTATTTAGTTCTGTACTCATCTTCCTATGATAGGATGCAATCTTCATAATAGGACAGATCTTGTTTCTTTCTTTCTTTCTTTTTTTGGTGGAACCGGGGATTGAACTCAGGCCCTTGCGCTTGCCAGGTAACCGCTTATTCCACTGAGCCATCTCCCTGACCCCTTCTTGTTTCTTTTATGAACCTCTTTTATATATAGTGCTTAGAATACTAAAGTTCACAGTAGACTCAATAAGTATTTGTTGAAAATAAAGCTTGACAGATTATATCTAAATTCTAGTAAAATTAAAAACAGAATAGGACTTCGAGACTCTCTATGCCCTAACCCTATCAGTCCCTCCCTATATCTTGCTACCTTCCCCCTGACTCCCTCTGATGTGGATCTACAGGCATTGCTGTTCCTGCAGGATGCCAGGCAAACCTCTGCCTGCTGCTCCTTGAGTCTCAAATTCTCTTTCCCTCCCATCCACAAGGATCACTCCCTTGCTTCTTTCTGATAGACAACAGATGTTGAAAGGTAATCTCAGGGAGGCTTGCCTTAGCACCTCATCAATGATTGTAACACTCCTAGTCCTACCACTCAGAGTTAACACAGGTCCCACCCACTGCCTCATGATCTCTTCTTATCACTGCTCTCTAATGTGCCATAGATTTCACTTGCTCATCTTGTTTACCTTTTGTCTCCCAGGTAAAAGGTGAGCTCCACAGAGCTAAGGATTTTGTCTATTTTTTCTACTACTATCCACACAAGAGTCCAGAATCATGTTTGACACTATAAATATTCATTGAATAAATGAACAGGCAACTTTTCTGTATTATTTTTTAAATATACTTGAACATTTGTATAGTTAAAAAGACTGAACTTATTGAGGATTTCCTGTAGGCATTTTTTAAAATGTTGTCCTTAATGATAATCCAGATAAGTGTTCCTCATTTAAGGAAGGCTAATGAGAAAAAGTTAATAGTTGGAGAACATTAATGATTGTTAAGGGTCTTAAACAAATTGGGTAGCACTCTCAATTCCATATGTAGGGTTTATAATACGTTTATTACTATGTTGCTGCTTCCTATTTCCACAGAATAAATTTTCAGGGCCCTACATGCCCTGTAATAACAAATTTTTATTTACTAAAAAATAAAACCATTCCCCCTTTGGCAGCCATCTTTAGAAAGTGACATACTCTTCACAGGAGACATCTGGTTTGTCCTGTCTGCTTTTATTGTAATTATCTTCCTGAATCTCAACATTACAATTAATTGCTTCAGACCTGATCTATTGGTTAACCAGTCATGATGAATCAACTCAAGGAGGATTAATTGTGAGACAAGTTTTATGTGAATAGTTGTTCTACAGTTCATGCTCTACTAATCAGAAACCAAAAACCTAACCAAAGATTCCCAAGAAAGAAGATGGAAAAAAAAAAAAATTCTGTTCAGAACTCCCTGGGACTTAGCAGGATTTCCACATTTCCAGAACAGTTAAATGAACAATTCTGAAACCAGTAGGTAATTTTAGTATAACATGGCGAACTAAGGAACTGAGGAAATAATTTTTATAGGACTGCCTTCCCTAGGGGGTCAAAACTGCCTGTTCCAGAAATGACCCATGAAAAAGGAGAGCTGTAGTTTGCTTACATCTGACAGATTCCCTTTATTCCTTTTGGCAACTATGAGAACAGGCTCATCCAGTTTCATCGGAAATGTTTTGTTTTCCTTTGAAAGTGATAATAGTAACATCCTATGGTAGGTCCATGGTCATTTCTTAAGCAGAAAAAGTAAAAAGGTTTGATGTTAAACTGTTTATATTATTCCGTCCTGTTCATCTGTAAGAATTTCTTCTTGCCTTTAAGAGGGGCTGATCTCATTTAGGTAGAGGATTAGGCTAGGAAAGTGTGAAGAGCAGCTATTTGGGCAATGGGGTGGCACATGACAAGTATGACACTTTTTTTTTTTTTTTGGCAGAACCAGAGATTGAACTCAGGCCCTTGCACTTGCCAGGCAAGCTCTTATTCTACTGAGTTATCTCCCCAGCCCCGACACTTATTTTATAAGGCCTATTTGGCCTTTAAAAGAGCCTGAAAAATCCAGTAAATTTATATGCCCGAGTTTCTAATAAGGATGAAATACCTCTTTTCTGTTAACTTTTCAAGATTGTGTTTACAAATCATATACTATGAGCATATGTGTAAATATAATTAAAAATTGAGAAGTATGGACATTTTTCTTTTAAATAGAAATTTAAAATTTTGATTAAAATACATACTTTTAATGTATTAAGTAAGTCTGTTATCAATAATCCTGAGAAAATATGTACTTCATTTTAACCCAGCTTAATGATGTACCATTTAAATAACTGGAATCCTATATCCTTAGTTTTAGATCTTAACCTAAGCAGCCAGTAAGCATATTTCAGGTGTGACAGGTTTCACCAAGCACAGCTACAGCCAAATATCATTTTCCTAGGAAGGCAGGCTCTATGTACAGGTCATCTGCTTCAACAGTTTGCAAACGCTTAATTAGATAAATATGCATTAGCTGGGAAAATCTTGGACACTGCTGTCAGGACCACTTGCTGGAGCACAGGCACACCGGAGGGGACGCAGCCCTTGGCTCCGAAGGGGCAAGCAGCAGCAAGAAACTGGAAAGCAGAAATGACTCTTGATTTCTTGGGGCTGATTCACCTGAGGAAGTGCAAGGAGAGAGATACCCTCCCAGCCTCGTCCAGTCACTTCTCCAGGATGGCACCCAAAACACATTAGTGTTGTTCTTCTCCTTATTCTTTCTCTTTTTTCTTTTTCTTCACTTTGTTTAGATACATGGAAGGGAACTGGCCTTCCATTACTGTGCCTGGCGATGTTGTTTTGGTTTCTGTCCTGAGCAGCTGTTGGACAGGCCCGCCCGGGTGCAAGGGCGCTCGCCACGGTCCCCGGAGGACGGCGCCCGCCCCCCGCTCCAGGTCCGCAGCTCTGCGTCCCCGCGCCGCGCACCCCAAGTGGGTGGGGACGGTCGCGGCCGCGCCAGCCGCCCCAACTCACCAGCCTGCGAAGTTCCGCGCCGAGAGGGCTGGTGTCGGATTTCAGAGACGTTTCCTGCCCTTCCCAAGCCCTGGGACCCGGGGCTCCGCCACCCGAGCCACGCACGAGCTGCTTCACAGGGTGACACTCATGGGGACAGCGCCTTCTTTTTCCAACCTGTGGCTCGGGATGCGTCCAGCGCCGTCAGGACTGCGAGAGGCAGGGCCGGCAGCAGCACCACCCCCGGAGTGCGCCCGCCCGCCCGGGCGCCTGGGCTCCGCGGGTTTGTGTGAGAAGAAGGCGTGTCTGGAGTCCCAACGCGGATGTGCAGGGCTCACCTCGGGCCAATCTCGACAGTGACTCAACAGCCGCAATAAGAAACACGCCTGGCTCCGGGTTAAACGCTCCACGTCTCGGGGCGCGGAGCCCTAGCGGCGAGCTCATCTGTATCCATCATTTTTCTGTGTTTTCTCTGACCTCTCTCTTAGGCACCCCAGGGCGCTGCGTGCTGGTTGGTAGTGGTTCTCTGCGCCTGGGGAGGGATGGCTGTGTGACTGCAGGGATGCCAGCAGCAGGGGTGGAGGGCAGAGCAAGACCTCGAGGAAGTAAAAGGCAGGTTGGCAAGGAGCTGCGTTCAAATTAGAATGTATTCTCGTGAAAACATTGGCCAGTCTGCTCAGTCCTAGTCCCACTTCTAACAGCAGGTCAGAGACCAATAAATGATTCTTAAAATAACAAGCTCACGGGCTGTCACTGAACAAGTGTTTATTAAGTAGCTACTATGTGACTGGCTATGTTCTAAACACGTAAGAGTCAAGCACAGAGCAAAGATCCTGGTCGGCTCTTTGGGGACTGCAATTCAGACATACTCTGGCACCCCTAATTTACAGTCACAACCCAGGGGAGCACATAGGGACAAGTACATACTTACAACTTATTCATTGGTTGGTGAAGAAAATTTAAAACAGAAAAAGAAAAATACCAAACCCTGTCGTTTGTATTCATATTAGTAAACAATGAGGTGTTTGCTTATATTTTAATTGCTAAATTCAGAGCTGACCAGTTACTTTAGAGACTTGAGGGTGGAAAACACTGCTGTTATTATGTGAGGAAGATCTCCTCAAGAATTTCTCCTAGAAAGAGAAAACAACAGACTAAAACCAAAACCTCTAACAAATAAACAGTAGCCAAGTGGTGGAGAGAACATGTTCATCCGCACAGAAGTCTGCCAATTCTATGCTCAGTGTCTGACCTTGAAAATGGGGATGTTAACACCCTTCCAGTGCTATTGTAAGTTCCTATCAGAAAAAGGCCTAGAACAGTGTCGGGCTCAGTGAGGGCTGCAGATGCCTTGTCTCGACATACAATTTTAGTAGCATTTAATTTACTCCATTCTCCCAAAGTTGGTCCAATTTAACAGAATTTGTTTTAGAAGAGATTCTATAGGGTTGGGTTTACTGGTTTTGTAATAAATCTGCTTTGCATCTGTCAAGAACCCTACCTGTGTACATAATGTTTGTCGTGGGCCCAGAGATAAAGGAAGAAACACACATATAACAGTGATTCTGTCCCTCTGTGAACTGTCCTGTATGATGATTGTTCCTATGCTTTATCGAGGTAACATACTGTCTAATTTCATCTGTCCAGACAGCTGTGGTGGCCTGCACGTGTGCAGTGGAGCTAGCAAAGCCCTTGCCCCCACCCAGATCATCTCTTCTGGCTGTCACAGCATAGCTCTGCTGTCCCCATCTTAAGAATGAAGAAATTGAGATTGAGAAAGTTACAATAATTTGTCCAGAATCAAGAAGCTCAGTAAATCAGGACTCAGGTCTCTTGGGTCTGCAAGCAGTTTATGGTGGTCTCCATAGTCCACTGCTTGCCTGCTACTTCTAGAAAAATGTCCTCCATGAACAAACCAGGTATTCATGTTTATCACCTGCTCACCTTGTTCCCTTCCCCAGGTAAGTGCCTGGTAAAGCCAACCCCTGCAGGGATGGATCTGCTGGGTGGTTTTGCCACATATAGTTCTGAAACTCAGAGCCACTGCAGTCACATAGTGACACTGGTGGAGAGTGGTGACATATCCCTTCCCTGAGAGACATGTGCTTTGCCATTTCACTAAGGACACTAGGACTACAAGCAGAGCAGAATCAAAGACCCTGGAAATCCAGTGAGAAGAGGAGAGAATGTCATGTGTCACAAAGATAATGATAATAAAGTTTCCTTGCATATGAAATTTATGTTACACAAATTAAATATATGTAATTTCTCAAATGAAATTAAAACAGCTCTGGAGTAGACATATAAATGTACTTGGGAGAGACTTCTAGTTAAATGTGTGTGACAAATTGATTACATGTTTCATTACCTTTTCCTTAAACTCTTCAACACAAAAATAATGATTTTTCTTATAAGTGTTCTTAAATGATAAAGAAAAACAAGAGGGAGAAGGGACATCAACAGATAAAATATATTTATATATTTTAGTGAATTTTCCAAAGCAGTTAAATCAGTTGGAGTTTCTGTATTGACTTGGAGGGGCAGAGTTTGCACACCACTTGTCTATGGAAGGGGTTGTAGACGAGAAGCCAGTTGATTCTCCCTATAAAATCCAATAGTAGGAGGACAGGCAGAAATGCCAGCATGTCTGGAGCAGAGGGTCAGGTGGTAAGACAGGGCTTCAGTGTTCAGTTAGACTTCTGTATGTAAAGTACAGTGACCAAAAGTCCCCTCTCCACTGACTTGCAAAATCAACCCTAAGTTCCCCCATCTACTCAACCCAGCCTGCAAAACAAAGTAAACTAGAGTATTTTTTTTTGTCTAAACAACATGAGCCTTTTTACTCTGCTTTAGAGAAAGTGAATAAAAATGAAATTTATGATGGGAGCAAAAATAGCTTAAAATTGAAGACACTTAAACTCACAAAATTTTGATAGTTTTGAACTAATTTTGAAATATTACCAGGGCAGTAGAAGAAAAACCTGTGTACATATTTGGAGGAAAAAATCTTTTGACTAGCTGTACCACCAAAATGTTAGGAAAAATTTTCCTTTCTGTGCAAAATGGGATGAAAAAAAAACATAACTAAACAAAATAACATTTTCAAGTTGCAGAAGCAAAGCCCATAAACTTCTGGAATCAAAAGTTTGACCAAAAGTCCAGCAGAATACATGTTAAATTAATTAAACAGACACCATTCTGATATAACAGGAATTCAAGAATAAAAGGAAAAAAATTAAATATCTTACTATCTCCCAGAAACATAAAGCAAATCACATAAAAAAGAAGCATGAAATTATCTGCGAGCTAGTATTGTATCCCATACAAACTGTCAGCCCTATGAAGCTGTTTTCCTAAGTAAATAGACTCAAAACAGTTTTCTTTGTTCTTTCTACTCTTTCTGATGTAGGTTCTAGCTCAGTCAGTAAATCTCCAGCAGTGGGGGATGGAGGGATGGAGGCAGACAGGGTCAGAAGTGCTGGCAGGGCCCAGCAGATTCCACGCTCTTTTTCCTGAGCACTCATCCGATTTCACATGTGAGCCCCTTCCAGGCCAGAGGAGGTGTGCAGTGGAGTTCTAGCCAATGGGCTGTGGGCAGAATGAATGGACACCAGCTGCAGGCCAAGCCCAGAAGGTGGCTCCTGAGGTCTTCCATGCTTTCACTCTTTCCTTGTTAGTATGGAGATGCAAAGAGTGAAGGAAGAGCTCAGCAAAGAAGAAATAAAGGTTACTTGGTGAAGGGAAGGCATGGCCCTGGATGTACTCGTGGAAATCCCAGGAGCTCCCTGCAGAACTATGACTAGAGCAAGAAGTAAACTGTGTGAAACCACCAAGATTTGGGGATTATTGCAGTAATTAGACTATTCTGATTGTGACAATTTAAAGATAATATTGATTAATTTAATGTCGACATAAAGTGTATCAGATAAACCTCAATAAATAAAAGAAGTTGTAAACTTCAAGAAAAGCTGTGAGGGAAAAGAAATATGTAATATAGGGGCCAGCCAGATAGCTCAGTGGATTAAAGCACCTGCTTAGGCAGATGTAATGACCAAGATCTTGGTTGGACCCCCGGCGTGCCATGCTGGCCCCTCTGAGATGGCGACTGAGACTGGGCATGGTGGCACGTGTTTGTAATCCCAGCACTTGGGAGGCTGTAAACAGGAGGATCACTATGAGTCCAATTAGTATAGTGAGAGCCTGTAGACCCTGTACTACATACACTAAAAACAAAAGAAATATGTAATGTAATATCCCTTCATTCACACATAGATACAATCAGAATGAAGAGAGGATTCATGAAAGAATTTAAACATCAATAAAACTATGTATGGAGTTTTCTATATAAAATCCTCAACTATGATAACATCAAGACAGTAAATAATGTATAAAATCACTAAGTAAAAAGTAGGATTAGTAAATCACTTAGAAATATGTAAGAGAATAAGAAATCTTTAAATGAGTCAAATGTTTACCTTGTGAATTCAGACTAGAACTTGAAAGTCTGTGCCTACATTATAAGAAATTTAATACCATTTTATTCCATTTTAACATATAGAATGTATTATCTTAATAAAAATAAGATTAATATTAAAGTAGCTTTAAAAATATACAGCAGGAAAACATATCTGTCAAAGAGAAAGCATCATATGTAATGTTCAACTATATGCATTATATTAATACAATAACTTATAAATAAATTTGAGAAAATAAATTTGAGGTGCAGAATGAAGACAGTTTTGAGCGATCTATACAGTCATTTACTCATTCAACAAACATTTATTAAACAACTTGTGCCTGGTACACTGTTGGGCATGGATGATCCAGTAGAGAACCCAAAGGAAGAATAAAGGTGCCCTGACAGAAAACGACCTTTAAACTTTGAACAACAAATAGATTTTTGAATTCTCTCTTGTCCTTGGTGGGAAATATCTCTCTCTCTCTCTCTCTCTCTCTCTCTCTCTCTCTCTCTCTCTCTTCTCTCTCCACCTTCTCTAATCTTCTCTTTTCTCTTGTTTTTCTTTTTGCCATGATACGGTCTTTCATTCTTCCACAACCTCTTGAAAATGCTCTGGACTTTCCCTCAGTGAGAGCAGAGGTCTCCCAGCTAAGCCAGCTAACCGGGCTCCCAAGCCTGTGGGGAAGGCAGGCTTGGCCAGGCGAGCAGGCTGGGCGGGCCTCCACTTGTGCCGCCTGCCCGTGCTGTGGAGGCTGGCTAATCACACCTACAAATCAACCCCTCCCCAGTTGAGGAAACCTCACAGCATGACTAACAAGTCAGAAGACCGGACTCTCCGTCATGCTTGTTCTCCTACTTTCAAGGACATAACTTCAGGAACTATGTATGCTTACAAGATTTCTTATTAAGAAATTGCTGTATTATCCAAAGCACATAAAAGAACT